TATATCACCCCCTCTCCAATGTGTCTTCACAGCCTCTATTCCTAAGAATTCAAATCCATTAATATCTCCTCCATGAGCTTCCAAAAAATGCTTGGAAACATTATGTAGAGTGAATTTCCTATTAATATTATAGATATGTTCCCTGATTCTTATCTTTAATAATCTGGACGTTTTTCCAATATATTGTAAACCGCAGGGACAAAATATCATATAAATCACATTTTTTGAATTACATGTTATAAAGGATTTTATCTCATGTATTATCTTATTTTGAAAAGAAGTGAACTTCGTGACATTTTTATTCTTATTTTTCCTTAGAGTACAGCCTCTACATGTTCCACAATAGTAGAAGCCTTTTTCTTTCTTAAACATAGATGAGATTTGTGGATTTTTTTCCTTATCTATAAAACTTGAGGTTAAAACTTGTTTAATGTTTTTCGCACCTCTAAAAATCATTTTTGGTTGAGTTCCCAAATACGGATGAATATCTTGATCCTGCTCTAAAATATGCCAATTTCTCTTTATAATTTTTTGCAATTGGTTGCTATGAGAGCTATAATTAAAAATAATCGGTACAATCTTATTTTCTTCTTTTTGTTCTTTTATTTTATATTTTAAAAGATTTTCTCTTAATTCCTGTCCTACCTCATTTTTTATATTAGTCAAGGAATCTTGATTGTACCCTTTTTCAACTAATTGCTTAATTAAAACTCTTGTTTGTTCCTCATACTGTACCGATTCCGTACAATTGCGTTTTATTCTTAAAAACTGGCCTTTAGGTATATTGGTTAACCAAGGTTTAAAATGGCAACTCTTTAAATTAATAAAACTATTGACATCTACAGTTTTAAAAAAGGTTTTACTTTTAATCTTATTTTCTTCTATATAAATACTTAGATCTAAAAAATTAACAATTTTAGTACTGATCTCCCAAGTTAGATTAATATTCCAGATGTTCTTGTTCAAATCATTTAAAAAGCTTTTTAAAGTTTCTTGTGTCCCTTTCCATATTAAAAAGATATCATCTATGTACCTTTTATAGAGGACCAGACTTGTCCCGAGCTCTGGCTTGGAGAAAATCTCAGATTCCTCCCAATACGCCATAAACAGATTAGCATAGCTCGGGGCAAATCTGGTCCCCATAGCTGTTCCCTTGGTTTGTAAATAAAAATTCTTCTCAAACCAAAAGAAATTATTAAAAAGAATCAATTGGATACCCTCTATAATAAAATCAATCTGCTCCGGGTTCAAATCTGTATCCTTTTTTAAAAAATGTCTAGCAGCCTCACACCCCTTCTCATGTTCAATAATGGTGTAGAGGCTGCTGACATCACAGGTCACCATAATCAAACCTTCTTCCCAATTAAAACCATTTAAAATTTGTAAAAGTGACATAGTATCCTTTAAATACGAAGGGCATCTTTTTACCGGATCCTGTAAAAATTGGTCTAAAAACTGCGATAAAGGTGATAATAGAGAGCCAATTCCCGACACGATTGGTCTCCCGGGGGGATTTTCTATATTTTTATGTACCTTTGGTAAAACATATAAAACCGGAATTCGAGGGAATTTTACATTCAGAAAATCATATTCTTTTTTATTTAATATCCCTAGTTCTAACCCTTGATTTATAAATCTATTCAATTTTTTCTTTATATCCTCTAAAGGATTTTTCTGTAATAACAAATATGTTTCCTGATCTTGTAATTGTTCAAAAATTACTTTAAGGTATTGTTCCTTTTTCCATATAACAACACCCCCCCCCTTGTCAGCAGGTTTGATAACAATCGAGGAATTTTTCTTTAAATCTTGTAATGCTTTCCTTTCACTTTTAGTTAAATTATTTTTCTGTTCTTTAACAGGTTTAATTTTCCTCATTTCTCTAGTAAAAACCTTTTCAAAAATTTTCATAGCATCTAATCTTAGATAGCTAGGATAAAAATTAGATTTATTCTTAAGAGTCGTATGTTTAAATTTATTATCCTCCTCCATTTTATCTTTTGTCACATCACTAGTAAATTTCTGATCAAAGAATTTTTTCAAACATAATTTCCGTATAAATCTATTAATGTCCAAAAAAGTTTCAAATTTATCTAAGTCACAACTAGGTGCAAATTTAAAACCATAATTTAAAACCTTTTTATGGGATTCCTCTAAAATTACATCTGATAAATTAAAAATTCTTATATCCGCTGTACTTTTTTTGGGAACATCTCCTCCCTCCTCCTTTTCTCCTCTTTTCTGCTTTCTATTGCCTCTTCTTGTCGTCTCCTTTTTACTGGGGTCTGCACTTTTGTGCCTCCTTTTGTTCGGGTCATGGTTTGACCTAAAAAAAGGTCATCATCATTTATTTGCTGCAGATGACTATATCTATTTGTAGTTTGTACCTCCTTTCTATAATTTCTGTCTGGTGAATACTGTTTATAGACTCTTTCGTAATTATTTTTAGAAGAATTATTTCTTTCTCTCATCCTGGATTTAACTTGAATCCACCCTCCATCCTGTTCTTTCTTTTGTTGTACTGAATTCTGATAGGGTCTATCCTCATCCCATTTCTTATATAGTTGTAAAGATGATCTATTTTCTTGTTTTAAAAAATTCCTTTTATAATTGTCTTTTCTATTACCTATAGGATTATTCTTCCTTTGTGGTTTTATTTGACCTTTCAAATAATCCTCTTGGTCCCTCTTAAGTTTCTTTTTTTTAGTTTCAATTACTTTTCCTTCTATATTTTTAATCTTTTCTATAATTTTTTCCATTAAAAACTTTAGCTCTTCCATTTCCAGAAAGGGCTCAAGTTTTTTCTGTATATCATTGATTTCTTCATTCATTTGATGTAGACTTAAAGTACGTTGTTCAATAATGACAGTCATCATATGTCTAGCAAAAGATTCTAAGGCTCCATCCCAGGCCTCCCTAAAACTCTCACTTTCATTTTCTGAGGTAGGGGATTTATGAAACCTCAGACCTCTAGGTGCTATTTTTAAATCAACATATCTTTCCAATGTAAAAACTTCCCATTTGTATTTCATTTCTTTAATAAGTAATCGTTCTAACTTAAAACAAATTTCTCTTAACTCATCATTTTTCTTATTCGGAATTTTTTCCCATTTATCATCCTCTAATGAACCAAATCTTTGGTTCATATCATTCTGCCAACTTTTGCGAAAGCTAAAGATTGACATAGTAATATAATACCCTTTATCCCAAAGTGGAGTGTTATACAGTAATATACACAAACTAGGGGGTTTTTAGGAAAAAGAGTATAATTGTGGTGCTACTATCACCTAGTGTGAATCACTCCAACACACCAAAACTCAATGTAGTGCAAATAATCAAATTGTGGTGAGAGCACTCAATGCATGCAAAATTCAATATTTTACCAGACCTTTTTCAGATGAAAAATTCTAAAAAACATAAAGCATAAAAACATAGAGTAATATTGTTTAAAATGTATGTCAATATTTACATTTGACTGGTTAAACTCACATATTACTGAGTCACTTTAAAAGCTGACTCAGACTTCAGGCTTGTATGGAGATGAAAATTATTCAATTCTGGACGTCTTGTATCAATTTCAACGAATCCGCACTGGAAGTGCTCCTCTAGAATCACTCCAAAAGGCAAGATCCAATCCAAACTGATTTTATTGTTAAAAAATAACTTTGTATAATAAATACAAGTAAAATGTCCTGTACAAATTACCACAACGCGTTTCGGCGATATCAGCCTTTCTCAAGTGGTCTAATTTCATCATCTCCATCTTCTTCCTTATATTTCGAATTTCGGCGCCTTTTTTTTCGGGCGTTCCCCTTTAACTTCCGCATTCGTCATCACTCTGCGTCTTCGGCCCGCTGTTTTCATTTGCGTCATTGACGTCGTGACGTTTTCCGGTTGCCGAAACCGGAAGTATTATCGGCGCCATTTTGGAAAGTCCTTTTCACTTATCATGCCAGTCTCTTACATATTCCTGTATATATACTTCTTTTACTACTTTTAGAGGTGCGAAAAACATTAAACAAGTTTTAACCTCAAGTTTTATAGATAAGGAAAAAAATCCACAAATCTCATCTATGTTTAAGAAAGAAAAAGGCTTCTACTATTGTGGAACATGTAGGGGCTGTACTCTAAGGAAAAATAAGAATAAAAATGTCACGAAGTTCACTTCTTTTCAAAATAAGATAATACATGAGATAAAATCCTTTATAACATGTAATTCAAAAAATGTGATTTATATGATATTTTGTCCCTGCGGTTTACAATATATTGGAAAAACGTCCAGATTATTAAAGATAAGAATCAGGGAACATATCTATAATATTAATAGGAAATTCACTCTACATAATGTTTCCAAGCATTTTTTGGAAGCTCATGGAGGAGATATTAATGGATTTGAATTCTTAGGAATAGAGGCTGTGAAGACACATTGGAGAGGGGGTGATATAGAAAATTTACTTAGCAAAAGCGAGATGAAATGGATTTTTAATATGGAATCATTATCCCCAAATGGTTTGAATGTTGATTTTGAGATAAATTCATGCATATAGCTTTTTATGTAATTTTATTCAGTAATTTGGATTTGTAAAATAATTTTAAAAAACAATTTTTATTTTGTTTGTTTTTTAATATATATGGGTCACTAATTTATCAATTTTTTAAGATTATCTTTTAAGTTTATTTATCCCTCTCTTTTTTAGTAGGTTGGGGATGCCTCCTTCTAGATTTACTATGATAGGGTCAATTTTTAACTAATTTTCTGTTTATTTGTTATGTTTTATTATCTGTTTTATCGATATGTAGGGTATATATATATTGATGCACAAGAGACCATTATTATGTTTAGAACGGACTTTTAAATCGGAAAATATGAAGTTGCTAGCCAAAATCAGAAGTATATATACAGGAATATGTAAGAGACTGGCATGATAAGTGAAAAGGACTTTCCAAAATGGCGCCGATAATACTTCCGGTTTCGGCAACCGGAAAACGTCACGACGTCAATGACGCAAATGAAAACAGCGGGCCGAAGACGCAGAGTGATGACGAATGCGGAAGTTAAAGGGGAACGCCCGAAAAAAAAAAAAGGCGCCGAAATTCGAAATATAAGGAAGAAGATGGAGATGATGAAATTAGACCACTTGAGAAAGGCTGATATCGCCGAAACGCGTTGTGGTAATTTGTACAGGACATTTTACTTGTATTTATTATACAAAGTTATTTTTTAACAATAAAATCAGTTTGGATTGGATCTTGCCTTTTGGAGTGATTCTAGAGGAGCACTTCCAGTGCGGATTCGTTGAAATTGATACAAGACGTCCAGAATTGAATAATTTTCATCTCCATACAAGCCTGAAGTCTGAGTCAGCTTTTAAAGTGACTCAGTAATATGTGAGTTTAACCAGTCACATGTAAATATTGACATACATTTTAAACAATATTACTCTATGTTTTTATGCTTTATGTTTTTTAGAATTTTTCATCTGAAAAAGGTCTGGTAAAATATTGAATTTTGCATGCATTGAGTGCTCTCACCACAATTTGATTATTTGCACTACATTGAGTTTTGGTGTGTTGGAGTGATTCACACTAGGTGATAGTAGCACCACAATTATACTCTTTTTCCTAAAAACCCCCTAGTTTGTGTATATTACTGTATAACACTCCACTTTGGGATAAAGGGTATTATATTACTATGTCAATCTTTAGCTTTCGCAAAAGTTGGCAGAATGATATGAACCAAAGATTTGGTTCATTAGAGGATGATAAATGGGAAAAAATTCCGAATAAGAAAAATGATGAGTTAAGAGAAATTTGTTTTAAGTTAGAACGATTACTTATTAAAGAAATGAAATACAAATGGGAAGTTTTTACATTGGAAAGATATGTTGATTTAAAAATAGCACCTAGAGGTCTGAGGTTTCATAAATCCCCTACCTCAGAAAATGAAAGTGAGAGTTTTAGGGAGGCCTGGGATGGAGCCTTAGAATCTTTTGCTAGACATATGATGACTGTCATTATTGAACAACGTACTTTAAGTCTACATCAAATGAATGAAGAAATCAATGATATACAGAAAAAACTTGAGCCCTTTCTGGAAATGGAAGAGCTAAAGTTTTTAATGGAAAAAATTATAGAAAAGATTAAAAATATAGAAGGAAAAGTAATTGAAACTAAAAAAAAGAAACTTAAGAGGGACCAAGAGGATTATTTGAAAGGTCAAATAAAACCACAAAGGAAGAATAATCCTATAGGTAATAGAAAAGACAATTATAAAAGGAATTTTTTAAAACAAGAAAATAGATCATCTTTACAACTATATAAGAAATGGGATGAGGATAGACCCTATCAGAATTCAGTACAACAAAAGAAAGAACAGGATGGAGGGTGGATTCAAGTTAAATCCAGGATGAGAGAAAGAAATAATTCTTCTAAAAATAATTACGAAAGAGTCTATAAACAGTATTCACCAGACAGAAATTATAGAAAGGAGGTACAAACTACAAATAGATATAGTCATCTGCAGCAAATAAATGATGATGACCTTTTTTTAGGTCAAACCATGACCCGAACAAAAGGAGGCACAAAAGTGCAGACCCCAGTAAAAAGGAGACGACAAGAAGAGGCAATAGAAAGCAGAAAAGAGGAGAAAAGGAGGAGGGAGGAGATGTTCCCAAAAAAAGTACAGCGGATATAAGAATTTTTAATTTATCAGATGTAATTTTAGAGGAATCCCATAAAAAGGTTTTAAATTATGGTTTTAAATTTGCACCTAGTTGTGACTTAGATAAATTTGAAACTTTTTTGGACATTAATAGATTTATACGGAAATTATGTTTGAAAAAATTCTTTGATCAGAAATTTACTAGTGATGTGACAAAAGATAAAATGGAGGAGGATAATAAATTTAAACATACGACTCTTAAGAATAAATCTAATTTTTATCCTAGCTATCTAAGATCAGATGCTATGAAAATTTTTGAAAAGGTTTTTACTAGAGAAATGAGGAAAATTAAACATGTTAAAGAACAGAAAAATAATTTAACTAAAAGTGAAAGGAAAGCATTACAAGATTTAAAGAAAAATTCCTCGATTGTTATCAAACCTGCTGACAAGGGGGGGGGTGTTGTTATATGGAAAAAGGAACAATACCTTAAAGTAATTTTTGAACAATTACAAGATCAGGAAACATATTTGTTATTACAGAAAAATCCTTTAGAGGATATAAAGAAAAAATTGAATAGATTTATAAACCAAGGGTTAGAACTAGGGATATTAAATAAAAAAGAATATGATTTTCTGAATGTAAAATTCCCTCGAATTCCGGTTTTATATGTTTTACCAAAGGTACATAAAAATATAGAAAATCCCCCCGGGAGACCAATCGTGTCGGGAATTGGCTCTCTATTATCACCTTTATCGCAGTTTTTAGACCAATTTTTACAGGATCCGGTAAAAAGATGCCCTTCGTATTTAAAGGATACTATGTCACTCTTACAAATTTTAAATGGTTTTAATTGGGAAGAAGGTTTGATTATGGTGACCTGTGATGTCAGCAGCCTCTACACCATTATTGAACATGAGAAGGGGTGTGAGGCTGCTAGACATTTTTTAAAAAAGGATACAGATTTGAACCCGGAGCAGATTGATTTTATTATAGAGGGTATCCAATTGATTCTTTTTAATAATTTCTTTTGGTTTGAGAAGAATTTTTATTTACAAACCAAAGGAACAGCTATGGGGACCAGATTTGCCCCGAGCTATGCTAATCTGTTTATGGCGTATTGGGAGGAATCTGAGATTTTCTCCAAGCCAGAGCTCGGGACAAGTCTGGTCCTCTATAAAAGGTACATAGATGATATCTTTTTAATATGGAAAGGGACACAAGAAACTTTAAAAAGCTTTTTAAATGATTTGAACAAGAACATCTGGAATATTAATCTAACTTGGGAGATCAGTACTAAAATTGTTAATTTTTTAGATCTAAGTATTTATATAGAAGAAAATAAGATTAAAAGTAAAACCTTTTTTAAAACTGTAGATGTCAATAGTTTTATTAATTTAAAGAGTTGCCATTTTAAACCTTGGTTAACCAATATACCTAAAGGCCAGTTTTTAAGAATAAAACGCAATTGTACGGAATCGGTACAGTATGAGGAACAAACAAGAGTTTTAATTAAGCAATTGGTTGAAAAAGGGTACAATCAAGATTCCTTGACTAATATAAAAAATGAGGTAGGACAGGAATTAAGAGAAAATCTTTTAAAATATAAAATAAAAGAACAAAAAGAAGAAAATAAGATTGTACCGATTATTTTTAATTATAGCTCTCATAGCAACCAATTGCAAAAAATTATAAAGAGAAATTGGCATATTTTAGAGCAGGATCAAGATATTCATCCGTATTTGGGAACTCAACCAAAAATGATTTTTAGAGGTGCGAAAAACATTAAACAAGTTTTAACCTCAAGTTTTATAGATAAAGAAAAAAATCCACAAATCTCATCTATGTTTAAGAAAGAAAAAGGCTTCTACTATTGTGGAACATGTAGGGGCTGTACTCTAAGGAAAAATAAGAATAAAAATGTCACGAAGTTCACTTCTTTTCAAAATAAGATAATACATGATATAAAATCCTTTATAACATGTAATTCAAAAAATGTGATTTATATGATATTTTGTCCCTGCGGTTTACAATATATTGGAAAAACGTCCAGATTATTAAAGATAAGAATCAGGGAACATATCTATAATATTAATAGGAAATTCACTCTACATAATGTTTCCAAGCATTTTTTGGAAGCCCATGGAGGAGATATTAATGGATTTGAATTCTTAGGAATAGAGGCTGTGAAGACACATTGGAGAGGGGGTGATATAGAAAATTTACTTAGCAAAAGCGAGATGAAATGGATTTTTAATATGGAATCATTATCCCCAAATGGTTTGAATGTTGATTTTGAGATAAATTCATGCATATAGCTCTTTATGTAATTTTATTCAGTAATTTGGATTTGTAAAATAATTTTAAAAAACAATTTTTATTTTGTTTGTTTTTTAATATATATGGGTCACTAATTTATCAATTTTTTAAGATTATCTTTTAAGTTTATTTATCCCTCTCTTTTTTAGCAGGTTGGGGATGCCTCCTTCTAGATTTACTATGATAGGGTCAATTTTTAACTAATTTTCTGTTTATTTGTTATGTTTTATTATCTGTTTTATCGATATGTAGGGTATATATATATTGATGCACAAGAGACCATTATTATGTTTAGAACGGACTTTTAAATCGGAAAATATGAAGTTGCTAGCCAAAATTAGAAGTATATATACAGGAATATGTAAGAGACTGGCATGATAAGTGAAAAGGACTTTCCAAAATGGCGCCGATAATACTTCCGGTTTCGGCAACCGGAAAACGTCACGACGTCAATGACGCAAATGAAAACAGCGGGCCGAAGACGCAGAGTGATGACGAATGCGGAAGTTAAAGGGGAACGCCCGAGAAAAAAAAAAAAAAAAAAGGCGCCGAAATTCGAAATATAAGGAAGAAGATGGAGATGATGAAATTAGACCACTTGAGAAAGGCTGATATCGCCGAAACGCGTTGTGGTAATTTGTACAGGACATTTTACTTGTATTTATTATACAAAGTTATTTTTTAACAATAAAATCAGTTTGGATTGGATCTTGCCTTTTGGAGTGATTCTAGAGGAGCACTTCCAGTGCGGATTCGTTGAAATTGATACAAGACGTCCAGAATTGAATAATTTTCATCTCCATACAAGCCTGAAGTCTGAGTCAGCTTTTAAAGTGACTCAGTAATATGTGAGTTTAACCAGTCACATGTAAATATTGACATACATTTTAAACAATATTACTCTATGTTTTTATGCTTTATGTTTTTTAGAATTTTTCATCTGAAAAAGGTCTGGTAAAATATTGAATTTTGCATGCATTGAGTGCTCTCACCACAATTTGATTATCTGCACTACATTGAGTTTTGGTGTGTTGGAGTGATTCACACTAGGTGATAGTAGCACCACAATTATACTCTTTTTCCTAAAAACCCCCTAGTTTGTGTATATTTATTTTTCATGCATTTTGTAAAATGTACATTACTGGTAGGAATACAGTAAATAGGTTACATAATTCTAATGGATGAAAAATAT